GAGAGATTCGCTGCCTCTTATATTTTGTTAGTATTCATTTCCTTTTCTAATGTATTCTATTTTTATTATTTATACTCCTCTTTTTATCAATAAAATTAAGACTTCTCATATCTTTTTGTGGTATCAAAGCCATATCAATCTTCTTCAGTATGACGACTTTTTCTTTTTCCTCCTAAGAAATATCCTCCGTCTCATCTGCCCAAGTTCCAACCAGAATCGATGACACTTCATCCCTCATCACTGGCCACAAACTCAATGGCCAGAACTACCTTCGGTGGTCTCAATTCGTCATGATGTTTATCTGCGACAAAGGCAATGACGACTATATCACCGGTGATGTCGTTGCTCCGACCAAGAATGACCCAAAATTTCGGACATGGATTGCAGAAAACCACATGGTCATGTCGTGGTTAATCAATTTCATGACCAACGACATCGACGAAAATTTTCTTCTCTACGACACGACCAAGAGTATTTTGGATGTTGCTCGACACATACTCTCACTCGGATAACACATCCAAGCTCTTCGAGATTGAGTCAATCCTCAACGATCTTCGCCAAAGTGATCAATCTGTGACTTAGTATTTTAATGCATTCTCATGTTACTGGCAGCAGATTGACATGTATGAAGTCCATGTCAGGTCATGCACTCTGGACTCCAACTCATACCGTCAGATCATTGAGCAAAAAAGGATATTTAAACTCCTTCTCGGCCTCAACAACTCTCTCGATCATGTCCGCTCTCGTGTATTAGGCTTCGAACCACTACCGAGCATTCGCGAGGCCTTCTCCGAGGTTTGCTGCAAAGAAAACCGCTAGAAAGTCATGCTTGGGCTTATCTCCACCTCGCCCAATCTCTCCATTGACGCATCCACCCTTGCAGCTTAGGTTACTCCGCCTCAACACAACGACAACCCATCACGCAAGGGCCATCCCTGGTGCGACCACTGCCGCAATTCAGGCCATAATAAAGACACTTGTTGGGTGCTTCATGGAAAGCCGGTCGATTGAAAGCCTCGGTCTGATCGCGCTCCCCGTGCCATCAGCGTCGTCGCTGCCGATGACCTTCTTACACCAGCGCCCAGTCCACTCAGCAAAGAGCAACTAGATTTGTTGCACAAACTGATTGGCAAACCACCTGATCTGGCTATTCCCGACCCCATCACCAGCCTGCTCACGCATCAAGGTACGTTCTACCATGCCTTCACAGTCAATCAAGAATCCATCGGTCAGTGGATCATCGATTCTGGCGCTTCTCATCACATGACTGACGATGTCTCCCTTCTCCATGATTATATGTCGTGCGAAGACAACTCCACCATCAGCGTTGTCGATGACTCTGTCTCTAAAGTCATCGGTTTTGGCTCCGTGCACATCACCCAAAACATTCCACTTTTATTTGTGCTTCATGTTCCTACTTTAAATTATAAATTAATATCCATCGGAAAGTTGACTAGTGATCTGAGGTGTATTGCTAAATTTTTCCTTACCACGTGTGAATTTCAAGATGCGGACTCGGGAAAGACGATTGACAATGTTGAGTTGTGCTTGGGTCTCTACGTCATCAACGATACTTCACCACCACAACATCGTTGCGGACATTTGTCTACCCAGATTCTCTCTTCAACTCTAATGTCAATAAAGATTCTGAGATCATGTTATGATATTTTCGTCTCCACCATCCAAATTTTATGTATCTGGCAAAATTATTTCCAAATTTATTTATCAATAAAGATGTTCGTTCTTTCAATGTGAATTTTGTCAACTTGCCAAAAACACTCGCACGTCATTTCCACGTGTTGGTTACACCTCTTCCCGACCCTTTGCACTTATTCACAGCGATATTTGGGGCCCATCCCGTGTTACAACTCGTACCGGGACTCGGTGGTTTGTCTCCTTTATTGATGATCACACTCGACTAACGTGACTATTTCTTATGAAAGATAAATCTGCTGTTGGTCACATATTTTAACAATTTTACTCAATGATCCAAATACAATTCCAAACCTCCATCTAGGCACTCAAGACTGATAAAGCAAAGGAGTACTTCGCTTTCGTCCTCGGCTCTTATCTCACCTTTAAAGACATCCTCCATCTCAGTTCTTGTGTCGGCACTCGTCAACAACATGGGATCATTAAACACAAAAACTGCCACCTTCTCGAGGTGGCCAGCTGCCTTGGCTGCCTCATGTTTTCCTCTAACGTGCCTAAGGTTTTTTAGGGTAATGTTGTATCTACTGCAGCCTACCTCATCAACAGGATGTCTTCTCGAATCCTCAAATTTTAAAGTCCAGTCCAACTCCTTCTAAAATCATTTCCCCGCACCAAGGCAATTACCTAAAGTCTACCTACTGCTCCTCCTTTGTTCACATTCATTAACACAATCGCAGCAAACTTGACCTCAAATCTACTAAATGTATTTTCCTCGGCTACTCGCCTCTTCAAAAAAGGTATAAGTGCTACTTTCCTCTCACAAGAAAAACCTACAACACTATGGATGTCACCTTCTTTGAAAATCAGCCTTACTACCTAAATTCTATATTCATGGGGAGACTTTAAGGGAATATCAATCTTGGGGGGACAACGATTTCATACCACCACACACCAAATTTTCGTCCCTTGAACCGAACTCATTATCTCCCAACTCGGATTCGTGAAGTTCATCCAACTCACGTGAAAATGTACCTAACAATCAGTCCCCGTCTAGTCCTCAAGTGTCCAATTCACACATAGATCACCCAACACATCCAACACCAATCCAAGAGTCAGAACCAAATCCAACTTCTCCATAAATTCACTCAGGTACGAACACACTTGAACATGAATCTACTATACCTATGATTGATGACTTCGACATTCCAATTACTTTAAGGAAAGGTGTCAGGTCTATCCGAACTCCACTCAGGCACGAACACACAATGCATCTGATCTCCAACTTTGTGTCCTATGAAAGACTATCTTCAGCTTACCGAGCCTATGTCACTGCATTCGACAATATACAAGTCTCAAACATTATTGATGAAGCTCTCAAACTCTCGGGATAGAAAACAACCATCAATGAGGAAGTAAGAGTCCTACAAAAAAATGGTACACGGACTGTTTAAGACCTGCGAAAGGGAAAGAAAACAATCGGTTGCAAATGGATCTTCAAAGTCAAATACAAGGCAGATGGTATAATTGAGAGATTAAAAACACGTGTCGTAGCAAAAGGTTTTTCACAGTCTTACGGTATTGATTACCAAGAAACCTTTGCCCCTGTGACCAACTTAACACCATCAGAATCATTCTCTTACTTGCGACAAATGAAGATTGGCAGCTACATCAACTCGGCGTGAAAAATATTTTTCTAAATGGCTATTTGGAAGAAGAAGTTTACATGGAAGCACCTCCCGAACTAGAAGCATCCTTTTAAGGCATCAAAGTCCGCAAACTCCAAAAATCATTGTACGACCTCAAACAATCTCCCCGAGCATGGTTCAACAGATTTGCAAAATCAGTGACAAAACAAGGGTATACTCAGTGTCAGACAGATCATACTCTCTTCGTGAAAACCTTTCCCAAAAAGAAGATTGTAATTCTAATCGTATATGTCGACAATATCATCCTCACTGGAAATCCACTGGAATCATCCTCACTGGAAATCACGAAGAAGAACTCACAAATCTGATAAAGCTTCTCACTCAAAAATTCAAAATCAAAAACCTCGGAAACCCAAAGTTCTTTCTCGGCATGGAACTAGCTCGATCAAACAAGGAATATTTATGTCGCAACGAAAATATACATTGGACCTGTTGAAGGAAATATGTATGCTCGGTTGCAAACCCATCGATACTCCAATGGATATCTACAAGAAGATCGACACTGAGAAAAATAGCGCACCTGTGGATAGGGGGAGATATCAGGGACTCTTGGGGCGACTCATCTATCTCTCACACACACGATCCGACATTGGTTTTTTCTGTTGGTGTTGTTAGTCAATTCAGGAACAGTCCTACGGAAGAACATATGAATGTAGTCTACAGGATCTTGAGATACTTTAAGATGACTCCAAGAAAGGGCTACTGTTTCAAAGGAATAAGGATCGAAGTATAGAAGTGTATTCAGACGCAGACTGGGCAGGGGATGTATTAGACCGACGATCGACTTCTGACTATTGCACTTATATCTAGAGAAACCTAGTCACTTGGAGAAGCAAAAAGCAGTATGTGGTATCAAGAAGCAGCGCTGGAGCTGACTTCAGAGCTCTTGCACTTGGGATCTACGATTGAATGTGGTTTCGAAGAATACTCAGTGAACTCGGAATGCTAACTGAAAAAACTGTCAAACTACAATGCGACAACCAGACATCCATCAGCATTGCAAAGAATCTAGTACATCATGATAGAACGAAACACATCGAGATCGATCGACACTTCATCTCAGAAAATATTGAGAGAGAAGTCGTCGAACTTGCATACATTCCTTCCCGACTTCAAACAATAGATATCCTCACTAAGCCTCTCAATAATAAACTTCAAAGAATTATGTAACAAGTTAGACATGTACAATCTGTACAACCCAACTTGAGGGGGAGTGTTGAAAGATCTCAAAAATACTAATGATTATATTTCATATTTGTTATAATTCTATATTTAGAGGGTTATAAATTATATGAGAGATCTTGGGAATCTCTATTTATTTCTCTCCTTAAATAAGAGAGATTCGCTGCCTCTTATATTTTGTTCTTTTTCATTTCATTTTCTACTGTATTTTGTTTTTATTGTTTTCCTTACCTGTAAGTTCTGTAATGGATATTTATACCTCTCTTTTCATCAATAAAATTAAGTCATCTCATATATTTTCAGGTATAAATGTAAAAAGTAAAGTTTAAGCATTAGATATGTAAATACATAAGAATTAGGCTGCAGGAATGTAAATGTCCCAACATCAAAATAGCCAAAAACCAATGAACCGCAAACTGAAACATCAATGATATGATCTGCACCAAACCAAAATCAAAGTTTTGCACGAAAACCATAATATATGAACCCCCTACCATCACCAAATCAGCAAAACATCCTTAATACCATATCTACACAGTCCTCTCAGCCCAACACCTCCAAAATTCAAAGAAGAAGAAGAAGAATCCTTAACCTCCCAAGCTTTTTTCTTAACAATCTGCTATGAAACCGAATGCCTCGAATTCCTCGATGGAGTCGATCTTGCCTCATCACGGTTCATCGAACCAATGCTGTTCGGCGTCCCCGAGCTACTGCTCTCACCTACCTGCATCTTCCCCAACCACAGCTTGCACATTGTTCTCTTAGGCACTAGAGCTCCCTTCACTTTCTCATTGCTCTTGTTGTCACCATTCTCTCCTATGCCATTGAGCTTTGTGGATTTGAGGGAGATAATATTTAATTCATTATCAGTATTCGTCGTTGCGGCGGACCTGGAACTTCCATAGGATGCCGACCGGTTCTCTTGATGAACCAGAGAAGAAGCTCTTCCTGATGAAAGATTAGTCCCACAGCTACATAAAGCAAACTGTTTTGATTGCTCATAATATAGAATCTGTACGACAGTTCTTAGAGGGAGACGATTGTTCTGAACTGCATGGATGCAGGAATCATGAGAAAGCTTGCTGCAGTCCAGAAGGCTGCAGATCTTCTTCTTCTCAATTTTTGTGAGGTCTGGATGCTCCTGTGACAGCAGAAGAAAGAAAATGTTGGTAAGAGCCTTAAGATTAAGCAATTTGAAAAGAAAAAGGAAGATTTATATACGCACCACACAAATCCTATGTATTTAGATTTCTAACACTAGAATTTCAATTTTGCATCATAAGGTGTATTTCAATTTTTAGAAGTTAAAATGATGGTATTGTTGATGTGATATGAAACATTAGGGTGGTCTGAATGTAATGTGTAAAGTTTAGGGGTATGATATGCAAATATATAAGAATTGGGTGGCATGTACGTAAATGCGGCTGAGAAAAATGAATGCAGGTTTGGAGCTATAAATCTTTAGGCAGAGATTGATGAGAAAGCCTAAATACAGATGTTAAGCTAAGCTGCAGCCAATGTCCACTGGAGCACACAGCTTCAAAACTCTTGAGGCAATTGGTTGCAAATTATGTAAATAAAATTTCCATTCACTGTGAGCCAATTAGAACTTTAATACCAAAAGTACCTTTAATGAATAAATTTCTAAAATTTAAGGTTTCATGCAATAAAGCATGGTAGTCATGCACCAGTGAGGATCTACAATTTGCACAATGATGTTAGGTGAATCTTGAGCAAAGCTGATCAATGGGGTGGAAGAGTTCAGGAAGGATTCAAGAAGGTTGAGAAGACTCAAGTTGTTGCAATTTTCTAAAAGTATCATGATTCATTGAGGAATGTGAATAAGAAAGAGAATGCAATTTTATGGAAACTGATTCGAGAAATACAAAGTAATATTTTGATACCGAGTTCATTGAAGATTTTGGTGAGATGAAATTTGTGGAAACTAATTCGAGAATATGAAGTAAAATTTTGAACATAAGTGCACAAAATAAGAAAATCACAGAAAACATGAGATTTAATGTGGCAAAACTCAAAAAAAAAACACCGAGTCACATTACACCAATAAATCTACTATACATAAATTTATGAGAATCTTATAAATTACACCACACTCAAGCCTCTTCACATGCCTTTGTCTCTTCCTTTGCAGAAACGAATTCAAAATCCAGCACACTACTACCAACAAAACCGACACAATAAGTAAAAAAATTGCCTAAAATCAGTTACGGGCACTGGGGCGCCTCAATGTCATGTTGTGGCACTCCAATGGGCGCTGCATCCATGTGCACACCGCAACCAGGCACTGCAGTGTTATGCTCTTGGGTTTTGAAACTGGATTGGGCAAGACAGTTATGTCTTCCTTACGCCAGGGTGCTGCAAGAATGGTGCCGAGACACTATGTACAGGAAAAAAAAAATTTCGGGGCCATTGCAATATGGGGGTGCACAGTCGGTCCCCCAAACCCCCAATAAACTCATCGTTAAGCTTGATTGGTTAAATTGAGGGCTCAAAGTTGACAACTGATCGACACAATTAGACTCCATATAATAATACAAAACTAGTTATGTTCTTTTATTTAGATGATTGAACAAGCTTGAACAATTTTTTAGTTTGGCATTTATTATTCAATAAGTAGGCTATAAAAGCTTGATAAATTGGCCATTTACTAATTTCTCATTTGCTTATTTGATGAGCTATGCTATACTTATATGAATTTTTTTTTTATATCACATCTATAGTTTACACAGTAAAGGGAAGCCGAAGAGAAAATAAATGAAAAAGTGGATGAATCATGTAAATGCTTCATTTTAAAACATTCTCTCATATTTTTTTAACTTCTTAAAGGTGTTGTTTCCCACTCTTCTATAACGCATAAAAGATTTAACTCTTAATATCAATAAAAATTTATTAAACAAACTTAAACAAGAATTTAAAGCTAGGCTCATAATCAAGCTAAGCCTAAACTACATAAGAAAAATAAAAAGTATTGATCTTCATAGTTATGCAAAGATGCCGGCTTAATCATTTGCAAAGCAACATTATATCATAGAAGGTCAACTTCAAAAAAGTAATAAGTGTATAATTGGTTTTATCTTATAATGTAGGGAATTTACCTTCAAGAATGAATCTATAGCATGATAAAGCTGATCATTAGATAGCCGTGAGGCCCCTGATACCATCTCAGCTAGTTCGATAAACGTCGAAAGTGTCAAATTAGGATCTTTGGCAACCTCCGCAAGGTACCCATCGACCAAATTTGCAACGGCTACTCTGGGACTGCCAGGCTCTGAAGAAAGACCAGGGCTTTCCTGAAGCTCTTTTGAAGTCCTCAAACTAGCTCGAGAACCACCATGCTCTTGCAACAAGAACTCTTCCACCATGCGAAGAACAATCTCTGTGTCGTATAATGTGCTCTCTCCTACCGGAATGGGAATTAATAGATCAGTCACAGATGCTTCATGCAACTGGCATCCTAGTCTCTTGATCAGCTCCTTCTTCCAATTCTCACCACAATCAATAAAGCTTGCAGCTTTCAGCAACCTAAGCATGAAACTGCATGAAACTGAGCCTCTCTCAGGAGGAAGCAACCAAACAATGGCTTCCAGTAAAGTGCGGCACTTCGCAAAGTCTCCTCCATGAGTCGCACTCTCAATGAAACCAGGTAACTTTCTGCAAGCATAAGCCTTTAGAGATTCTCCAACCACTCTACCCTCTACTCCCCCCCTGGATTTTATCGTCATTATAACCCGTTCATAGAGTTCCATCTCTAGTTCGCAGAGATCCTCGACCCACCAATCTTTTGGGACGGACTGCTGCTTCACCACTCCGTTCCAATGCAGATCAAGACCATTCTCTGATGGAAGTTTGTTTCTGTTATAAGCATAAGACCATTCGACTTTTGCAGGATCCATGGAAGCCTTAGAAGCTATGGAGTCAATGCAGGAGTTAACAATCTTCAATTCGTCTGCCCAAGGTTGCAAAATCTTTGTCGTTTGGAGCATTATGATTGAGTCTTTCCAGCAGCAAAAAATACTAGAGTTGAGAAATACGTCTATCTTATATATCAGATTCCCTTTCTCGGCAGTCTCATGCATTTCGAGGTGTTCGGCGGCACAGCGAGCTGCAGCCACGTTGTAAGCATTGAGGGTGACTATCATGCCGTAGCAAAACTTGGCACAAATCTCGAAGGATGCGGAGCCACCAGGGATATCATGAATGTCAATCTCATCACTGTTTTCTGCATCATTGGTTGCTGTTAATCTCTGCAATCTTAGGCTCTTGGACAGTAGTTGAAACTGCATAAAAATGCAAATTACTTTTTCGTTTGTTAAATGCATAGCTTTATGAGATAAGACTTCATCTAATTTCTGATGGAAAGGAAGAAAAAAGTAATGTACAGATCACTATGACTAGCCTTATCCGAACTAGTTAGAATTTTGCAGCGTTTTTTTCTTCCTAATTATGTGCCGCTGAATCGGGGCTACATAAACAAAACACATACAAACAGGCAGCTTTTTCACATAACATGTGGAAAAATGTTTCAACAGTTTTAAGACCTTCAAAGATCTGCTCCCAGATATTACTTGAGAAAATAAAAACACTTAAAAATGATGTGATTCTTAATTCAGTATTGTCTGATAAACATCTAACTGTAATAGCAATATAGATGAGTGATGGCATCCGATTAACATGTTATGGGCCAAGAGGCAGTAATTAATGGAGTTCAGAGTCACTTCTAAAGAGTAGTAAATGAAGAAAATTTTCAAAGAATTACAGTACTACCCTGTGCAGGTAAAACTTCACATCACCCACATTGATAATAATATCTGTTTCCAATTCCGTTGCCGCAAACCTGCAAACAAAAACAGTTAACAATTTAAAGCACTACGCAAGAACAAGCCTACATGATGAATTCAAGGTCTACTTAGATCTCTTATCCTAAGCCACAAGAAGGAGAAACAAATTTGTAAGCGTAGATATTAAATTAAAATAAGGTAACTGAGTGTTGTTCAGCAAACTGGCACATTTGACATGTGAAAACTACATAATGGACCCACACAAGGCTCAGACGCCAGAATGATATGAAATTAAATACAAGTACCTGTTCACTTTCTTCTTTTTGCTTAAATCCATGTATGATGAACAAAAAGGAATATCATATAGCCACTTGTGCAGTTGTATAATAAACACAAACATTTGACAGCAATAAATGCAAGTCTCATGGAATCATTAGACACAGTAGCAAAAGGTAATGACAATCATGAGCATAACTATCTTGCACTCAATGGAAACTTTTTTTTTTTTTTTTTTTTTTTTGAATCATATATATTGGAAACTTAGGTTTGTTCAAGTAAATTTAAGGGATTGGAAGGGCTTATTTGTTTGCTTATGGATAGAAAAATGATTTTTGCTTCACCCATTTTGTGTGAGAAAATGAAATCATAACATGAGAGGGAGCCTTGAAAGAATTCAATTGAGTCTAAAATAAATAATGATTTCCATTTATATTAAACTAAATGATGAAGTTCAGCAAATTGTGTTTTTCAAAATATGTTTTCTAATTTCAAGCAACCGAATGGGCCCTAAGTTTTTCAAAAAAGAAACCTATAAGAAAATATGAAAATAATGAAAAAGAAAAAGAGTGTTCTACAAACATGCCACACAATTCTCATGTATTTATTCATATAACGCCTTAGCTTAGATAGTTAGTAATATAACATCCACATTTTTAACATCACATCAAAAAATACTACTAATACTAATTTTTCTGAAGTTAGCACACATTTTGAAGCATATATTTTGATGTAAGTGCGACACTAAAGCATTATATAAGTAAATATTAAAGTCTAAGTTTTAGATATGTAAATACATAAAAATTGGGTGGTATGCATATATAAATGCCGCAAAATGAAGAAAAAAAAATTTGATTTTTGATCTTTCTTTGCTTTGAGCTCTCAAGCCATACAAATTTTTGAAAATTAACTCTGAGATAAGGACACAACTCCAATAAAACAGAACTCTTGGTAACAAAATCAAGTATAGACCGAAAAAAACAACAAAAAATAGCAGGAAAATGATGATGACAAAGAACATGAACTGCAACCACCAAAACAATCTGCAAAAAAGAAAAAAAAGGGTCATCATACCTGATGTTTTTCCCATCAGACTGGAAGGCATCAGGCTTGCTTCCAAGCTTCATGTACTTCATATTCGTAGAAAATTTTGCCGACCTTCAATTCTTTTTTACAACCCTAAGACCTCACCACCTCCTCAAAGCTCATACCACGATAAAAATGTAAGTTTTACAGAAACCATACAAAATTGATTAAGCTATCAGTTGGAGTTTGATGAGACTCATTGCAAAGATGGAATCTTTAACCAATAAATAGGATGAAGAATGGGGAAGGAGAAAGAAGTGCTATATTTTCCAACGAAGAAGAAATGTCGGATTTTTAGGGTTTAAACGGACATTGAATCCAACCATCTCCTTGGAATAAGAGAGTGATGTTTCTCCAGCAAGAGACAAAGGCCACAGAGTCCGGTGCTAAAAGGGAAATACAGCAACTCCTCTAGATTCGTAAACTATAAAGAATGGCAGAGACCAACAAGCATAAGCTGACAGCACCGCTCAACTTAAATTTTCTATCTTTATTTTTTCTCTCCCCTCTTTCCTGCTCTTTCAAACATTTTCACACTGCTTTAATCTTTTTTTTTTCTTTTTGGTGAGCTACAATGGCGGAGAGCAGAATCAAGTTCCTCCAACTCCGTAATTAAATCATCTGCAAAACAAAGAAGCAGCGGCATCTCGGAGTAAGCAAATGAGAAGCTCAAACTACAAACAAGAAGGATCTTTTAAACAGACGTATTGAAGATGAGGGAGACAAAAAACAACTACTGCAGAAGAACTTAAATCCAAACAGGGAGGTAATGACCACTTGAAAGACAAAAAAATAGAAAACAGAGTGAATTAAGAGAATGTCGGGAAACTCTGCTCTTTTCTAGAAAAAAAAAAAAAAAAGAAGAAAAGGAAATTTACCACCGGGGGACCAAATAGATAGCCATGGAAATCTCACTCAAGCTGAAGTGAATAGGATACAGATAAAATGAGGGACACAAAAAGGATATCGAAGTAGCAGAAATAAGCTTACCTAATGGCAGGTGTTCTATAAGAATCACACTGGGTAGGAATAACGGAGCAAAATCGCCACCATGGTCTCCCTCCTTCTTCCTCCCTCCACATCAACTTTCTCTCATTCTCATACAAGCGCAGGATGCTCTGCTCGCAGTCCCGCCTTTAAAATTAAGCCACAAACCACTGTCTAACAGAATAAATTTATAAAAGGAGAATTACAGACATCGTTCAAAATTTATATATTTATATAACTAATGTAAATACTAATAAAATAATTGATGCTTGTGGGCTCCGAAATTTCATGAGCTCTCTCTTTAATCAGAAAGGACTCTCTATAATATGTTAAGAGAGCTTTGGAGGGTCGAATTTTTAGAAGACCGATTGAATTGTAGATAGAACAGTGTGTAGAGATTTCACACTCATTTAGTGATTACTTTTTTAATATAGGGTTTGAGGTTTATCATAGCCGCAAGCCCCTATGATTAATTATTCTCTTAATAATAGGAGAGCACTTTCGATTAAGTCTAGTCATTAAGAATTGAATATTCAACATGTATTAAGAGCAAACTTAGGATTTAAATTGTAGAATTGACCACTTGAAGCTTAAAGTGGATGGTGGGGAAATGAAGACGAACCAGATTAAGATTTCATGGTCCCATCAACACAGGTTATCATGGTCCCTAATCAACTTAGTTAGAGGAGATAGTTGACCTAATATGACAGAATGATTCTTGTCAGCAGCCATGGGTTGTGTCATCCAAGGTATTCTTGTAGATTTTGGGTAGATGTTTGTCTATAAAGACAAATTTAAGTCAACTTTAACTTACATAAGATTTTATGTTAATCAATTATACCCTCATAATTCACAACTCAAATGATAGAAAGTCGTTCAGGAACATAAGGCCTGCGGGCGTAACTATAATGTAATGATGTCATTTGAGAGCAAACACCCGATCAGAGAGCTCTGACCCGCTACTTTGTATAGTCATTTAGCGGCAAAACCACGATGATAAAGACTCGTGCCACTTTCATACTAACATGCAATTACTTTAATTATTAATATATAGGTACACTTAATCTAACATTAGCTTTTTATGAGCCGAAGACAATAAAAAATTTGTCACTCTCGATAAACTGTTGCGAATGGTGGATTGCATTTGCTTTGCTCTTACGTGATTAAATTTTTGCTTGAATTTTAGTAGATTATTTTTGAAAATCTTGAATTAAGAATTTGAACACTTCGATTGAAATTTTCAGTCAACACGGCTATCATTAGAGATTTGAACATTTTAAAACTTTTATATTTGAAGAGGGGGCATTTAGTTTTATTAATTAGACTTTTAGAGTATGGGTCATGTCAACTTCTACCCTTGCAAGGAGGAGGCTCATACTAAGAGATTTGGATTTGTAAATTTTTATTTTAGGATTGTGACATTTATTTCAAGATTACTATACTCGTCAACTTTCGTCCTTATGAGGAGTAGGATCATACTAGCGAGGAGAGACTTACATCTTGCTCTATAGATAAGACGGTTCGACATTATCGTACATCGTATTTAAACTTTTAATATTTTGGGTGGAGCACATGTGGGCTTGTAACTTTATATGTTAACACACTTTCAAGTTATTTGCATCATTCGAGTGACTTAGATGCTAATTTAAAAGATGTTTTTGAGAGACAATTCATTTCATAAAGGAGCATATGCAGCAATTTGAAATCATGCATGGTTCACTTATTGAGAGTATCAAAGTTTTAATTCATGTAAGTTATAAAATACTTTCATGGATCTCCATGTACTGCATTTTTCATTTGAATTAGAAAATATTCTTAAATTTTGTATGCGCTGAGATTATTCAAATTTTGAAATATTTTTAAAAATGCTCCTGCGTTTGCATAAATTCATTTGGAGTTTAGAAAGGATCGTGTTCTGTAAGCTAGCACACATTTCGAATTCGGTGACGATTTTTAATTCAAACATTTAAGAAAATTTCACATTTCATTCATGCTTCGCCCCTACGAGCCTAAATAGGAATAGCTTAAATTCAAAAATATAAAAATCCAAATCTTAATAATATAAGTATTGAAAATTTATATTTTAAAAGCTCATAGTTTTAAAAATTTTAAGACATTAAGGGCCTAAATATAAGAGCCGAGGTACTTGTTTTTCTAGAGTGGAGATTTTCGAAAAAAGTTCCCATTTGCCCTATGGAGGGAAAAATGATTGCATACGTACACCGCATGCACCGCATGCAGAAATGCATGCGGTGTATGATCCTGACCGTAGATCACGGTGATCTACGGTCATAATGCAATCATTTTTTTTTGAAAAAAAATTAATTTAAAGTGGAGCGCACCGAAATACATCCTAACTGTAGATTACCGTGATCTACGGCCAGGATCGGACACCGCATGCATCTCTGCATGCGGTGTATGTATGCAAACAGGGCGAGGGAATTGATTGCTAGGAGGAATCACGACTTGGAAAGACACGATATGAAGGGGTGTTTGGTTCGACATAGGAGTTTCACGCGACAATAAGGAGACATAGAACGACGAAAGACTAGGGCAGAGGGATTCTGTGTCTTCTATTTGAATAAGTAGGAGATTGCAACTTTGGTGTGGAGATAGCAGCAAGAAGAAGAAGAAGAATGCGAAGGCTAGGGCTTTAGAGAACTCACATGATTAGGAAGAATAGTGGAAATTGAAGGGACTTACGACTCTCTGGCGATTGAGAGAAAGAATGGTGGTATGGGAAGGGGACAATGTAGAGAAAAACAAGAGGAAATAATCTGTGAGTACACATATCCACTTTTTTCCTAAATTAGAGAAGATAGAATTATAAAGGTGATGCTTGTAAACGCATTGCAGTAGTTCATAGATAATAACTATAGTCTAGTCGTAATGAATATAGTTATTGGTGATAACAGACTGTAAGTGTCATGGTTGATTGCTATGAAGACATAAGTTTGTTGTGAATGTTGTGAATGGTGACAATTTATTGTATATGTCATATTTGAAAGTTATGGTTGTTGTTGGTAGCGTGGATCGTAGATGGTTATTTCAGAAGCTTCAATTGGGCAGAAATATCATAGTAGGAAGTTGCTGGAGCTGTGGGCCATGTAAGTCATAGTTGATCACATAGACCGCAGTCATGAGTTGTGATGATTTCCCTAGGCTACAATGGTGGGAGTGAAGGGTTGCATGAGCTGTGAATCATGTGGGTCATATTTGATCACATATGATCTAGTTGTAAACTACGATGACGTTTGCAGGTTGTAGTGGTTAGAGTTGAGAGCTGCACAAGCTGTGAGTCACATAGGTTGTATTGGTGAGCTGTGATGCGTCTGTAAGTAACAAAGGCTAAAGTCGCAGCCTACACTAGTTGTGGATCTCATTGGACAAAGTTGGTCATATAGGCTGAAGTGGCGCGCTGTGTTGACCTCCATAAGCCACAAAGGTGGGAGACAAGTCCCGCACGAGTTGTGGACCACGTAAGTTTTTGTGGTGAGTTGTGATGATATTCACATGTTGTAGATGTCAGAGAAAATATTTTCATGAGTTGTGAACCGTGTATGTCATATTTAGTCACGTAGGCCGCAATGGTGAGCTATGATGACTTTCCTCGGCCGCAAGACCCAAAATTGGAAGTTTCATGAGTTTTGGACTACGTAGTTGCAGTTGGTCATATAGGCCGTAGTAGTGAGCTATAAAGAGTGAGCTCTATGAGTCCGGAGAAAGTCACCGTACTTTGAGTGTACTATTAAATTATCTCAGGTGCATTGTTACACCATCATCGGGGTGTGTCATTGCACTGTATTCTGGAAGAGACCTTTCTATCAATAATGAAAAAATTCATTACACTTCATTAGACAACCATGAAAGATTCTCTTGATCAGACGACATTTAGTAAACATTCAAGTATCTTAATAATGTCAGAATTAAGCCATCTTAGGCTTGTTAGAACAGTCTCACTCCCCGCTCTCTTCCCTTGAAAAGCTTGTTTTGCCCCCACTACTAGAATGTTCAATTCGAACTTTTAAAATGTGAATCAAGATAAAACTGTTAACCATCCCTTATTTTGTGCTTTACTTTTATTTAGTTACATCTTATTCATTTTATTTTTTAAAATTAATTTGCTTTCATACTAAGCTTGCCTGACCCCTTAAAAATATGTCAGTTTTACCCCTGTGTCTCGTCGAGGTGCTCGATACGACTATAAGTTTGTCTTATTTAGACATCTTTTGACCCTCCAGTTTTGCACTGAAAGCTTCTAATGTGGTTTAACAACTTGATATAGGCTTTATTTAACTCAAGTTGGACCAATTTCGGCATCATTGGGTCTATCTCATTGAGTCGGTCAGTTTGACTATATGTTTGTTGAAATTGGAGTTCTATATGACTTTCAATAGAAGTTTGAACATTTTTTTTCTCAAAAATTGCATTAAGATTAGTTTCATGCCTATAGATTCATGGCGGATGATGAAAATTTGTTAATGGTGTATCAATAACCATAAAATCAATAATTAAAATGAGGAAAGCAAAATTAATTTTATAGGACTACTTAGGCCAAACTTTGATATGTTAACTTATATTTTATTATTTATTTAAAAAAATATATATTAAAAGGTTCTGCTACATTGGTATGTTAAAAAAAATAATTAAATTGATATGTTAACAAATATATTCAAAATCAAAATTATATTTCATAATAACAGAATGTTTGTTACATTGGTATAATTTGGTATTTATTAAATAATTAACTCATAAAATAAAAACTATTGTAATTGAACTTTATTTATGCCCTAGTCAATTATCATTCATATTAATAATTTTTTTTAATTTAATTAATAATATAAATAATTTGTGTACGCTTAATCAGAAAAAAAAATTAATATATTTATTTAAATTGTATCAACTTTAAATAAAATTTATTCTTTATTATTAGGCATAATAAATGGTAAAATATAATTTATTATCTGAATTAATTTATAATGATTTAAACAAAGCTATACTTAGTCTTTAATTGATCTTGATAATTACTTTGATTATTTTTTAAATAAATATTGATCCCAATTTTTATTATCATAAGTAAATACTATGAAAATATTAGTAGTTTAAATAAATTACAATTAATTAATAATTTGACCAAGCCACCCCACCCCCAATTCCAAGGAAAAAAAAAACAATTCCCT